GGGGGGGGTCATATGGGTTCAGGGGGGGTACTGTGGGGTAGGTGTCCTGTCTGAGGGTCCCCTGGGACTTAGTGGGGGGGTCCTGTGGGGCTGCTGCCCAGCCTGGGGGTACTGTGTGGGGGAGGTTGTGGATTCTTTGGGGATGGGTTCTTAGCCTGGGGGTCCTGTGGGATTTTGGGGGGCTCCCTGTGAGGTTTTTGGGGGGGAAGGATCCTGTAGGGTTTTGAGGGGTGCCGTGGGGTTTCGGGGGGTCCCGTGGGGTGGTATGGGATCCCATGGGGTATTGGGGTCTCCCGTCCCGGCTACTCCCGCCTGTGGGGTCGGGGGCGTTGCGGGTCCGCCCGCCGCCAGGGGACGCTCTGCGGCGGGGCGCGTCTCACCGTGCCCTTCCCATAGTGCACCGCGCGGCCGCGCCATATAAGGGGCCGCGCCGGAAGCGGAGGGTGGGGAGTGATGGCGGCGGTGCGGGTGTGAGGAGTGGGAGTATGTGTGTGTGAGGGCATGTGTATGTGAGGGCATGTGTGTGTGAGGGCATGTGTGTGTGAGGGCATGTGTGTGTGAGGGCATGTGTGTGTGAGGGCATGTGTGTGTGAGGGCATGTGTGTGTGAATGGAGCATGTAACGGGCCGTGTGAGTGTGTAAGGGCGTGTGAGGGGTGTGAGAGTCCGTAAGTGAGGCGCCAGCCCCCTCCCCCTACACGTTGATCTTATTCGATCGGCCGGGCCCCGCCGGGCCGAGGTGAGAAGAAGGCGCCGCGAAGCCCCTGGGGCGCTGTGCGGCTGGGCCGGGCGGGATGAGTCGATCAGATAGGCGAGGCCCAGGGCACTGCCCCGGCCCGTGAGCGCCCTGCGATTCTGACCCGAGCCCGCGGCCACAGAACCCCGGGGGGGTACCGCGACCGGCGGGGGAGATGCGGTCCTGCCTCGTCCCCCGGGGCCCTGCGGGGCACAAGGGCCTCGCCCACGGCCCCGGAGGGTCCGTGCGACACGGCAGGGACACCCCGGTGTGGCCTCTGTGGGGACACGGGGATGGCAGTGGTGACAAGGGGACAGCCATGGTGGTGACCAGGAGATGGACACGGTGCTGACCAGGGGTGACTGTGGTGACAAAGGAACAGCCACCACGTTGACAGGGACAGTCATGGTGCTGACCAGGGCACAGCTGTGGTGGTGACCAAGGGATGGCCACGGTGGTGACAAGAGGACCACTGTGCTGGTGACAAAGGGACAGCCATGGTGGTGACAAGACCGTGATGATGACCATGGAACAGTCACGGTAGTGACAAGGGGATGGCCATGGTGACAGAGGGGCAGCCATAGTGGCGACAAGGGGGTGGCCACGAGGGCACAGCCACGGGGTGACTGGGAGATGGCAACAGTGGTGACAATGCCTTGATGGTTACCAGGGGACAGCCACCATGGTGACATGGGGACAGCTGTGGTGGTGACAGGGGACAAGTCACCATGGTGGTGACCAAGCGATGGCCATGGCAGTGACAAGGGGGTGGCCACAAGGGGGCAACCACAGTGGTGCCCAGGGGACAGGTGTGGCAGTGACAAGGCCACGGTGGTGCCCAGGGGACAGCTGCAGTGCTGGCACTGCCAGGAGGAGCAGCCGAGGTGGCCCTACTGTGGGGACACTCCGAAAGGGGGGACACTGTCCTGGGGGGGCTCTGTGTGTGAGGTGTCCCCAGGGCAGCCCAGGGACAGCAGACACTGCAGACAGTGTGGGACACGGCCACCCCTTGCCACCGCATCCCAGGGCTGTCCCTGGGCTGCCCTGGGGACACACATGTCCCGTCCCCATGGGTGTGTCCCCCGTGCCCACACTACGTGTACCACCACAGACAGAGCTGGGCTCCCCTGTCCCTCTGTGTCCCCATGTCAGCCGTGTCCCTCTGTGTCCCCTCTGTTCCCATGTCACCAGTGTCCCCTTATGCCCCCATATCCCCTGTATCCCCCATGTCGCCCTGTGTCCCTGTGGCCCCTGTGTCCCCTACATCCCCTTTGTGTCCCCCTGTGCCCCACATCAGCTCTGTCCCTCAGTGTCCTCGTGTCCCTCATGTTCCCATATCCCCTGTGTCCCTATTATCCCATGTCCCTCAGTGTCCTTGTGTCCCTCATGTTCCCATATCTCCTGTGTCCCCATGTTCCAGTGTCCCCATCTTTCTCTATCCCCATATCAGCTCTGTCCCCTCCCTGTGTCCCCCACGTCCAGAACACATGTGTGTCCCCCCTAGTCCTGTCCCCTCCAGTCCCCGGGGCTGGCCCTGCCCTGCGGGGACACGGCCTGGGGGGGACACGGCAGCGACACGCCCGTGGGGGTGGGGGCGGCTCAGGGGCGTGGGAAGACCTGTGAGCCCCCTGGACCCCTGTCCCGGTGTCCCCCCAGCCCTGGGGAGGGGGCGGGAGGAGGGGCCGTTCCCGGAGCGGGGGGGTGATATCCTGGGCCGTTCCCGGAATAACGTCCTGGGAATGATGCTTGGGGCGGGGCCGTTCCCGGGGATACCTCCCGAGGGTGATGCCCATGGCTGTTCCTGGTGCCGGGATTCCGTTCCCAGGGATACCTCCCAGGGGTGATGCCCGATGCCGTTCCCGGGAATACGTTCTGGGGATGACGCTTGGTGCCGTTCCCAGGGATGACTCCCGATGCTGTTTCCATGGAAAATACTGCCGATGCCCGGTGTCATTCCCGGGATGTCATTCCCGAGGGTTCCATTGTCGTGTCTCTGTTCCCGGTACCGATGCCGGGTGCCGTTCCCATCAATGACGTTCCCGGTGCCGACTCCCAGGCCCGTTCCCGTGGCTGCCGTTCCCGAGGGCAATGCCGGAGGTCGTTCCCAGTACCATTCTCGGCGGTGCCGTTCCCGATAGCGGTGCCATTCCTGGAGAGTCCGTTCCCAGTACCATTCCCAGTGCCTGGTGCTGGTTCTTGAGGGCTCCGTTCACATTCCCGGTGCCGTTCCCGGTGGCTCCGTTCCTGTTCCCGGGGGTTGTGTTCCTATTCCCGTTGGTGGACGCAGGTGCCGTTCCCGGGGGTGTCGATCCCGGTCCCAGCGGGTGATGCCCGTTCCCGTTGCGGGGGGCGGACGCAGGTGCTGTTCCCATTCCCGTTCCCGGGGCGGGCGCAGGTGCCGTTCCCATTCCGGTTCCCGTTCCCGGCGCAGGTGCCGCCGGTGCGCGGGGGGCGGGCGGTTGGCGGGGGCGGGGCTGTGCCGGTGCCGCTTGGGCCGCGGAGCCGCCGCCGTTGCCGCCGTTGCCGCCGTTGCCGCCGTTGCCGCCGTTGCCGCCGTTGCCGCCGTTGCCGCCGCCATGGCCGGAGCCGGAGCCCGAGCCCGGTGGGCGCCGCTGGCGCTGCTGTGTCTCGCTGTCACCGCGTCCCCGGGACGCGCCGCGGAGCAGCTGCACGTCTGCAAGGAGGTACCGACACCGGGGATGGCGGGGGGCACAACCCCCCCGAATTCCTCACACACCCCCCGGGACATGAACCGGAGCCCCGGAGCACGGGGGGGACAGGGAGGGAATGGGGGTCCTTGTAGCGGGGCGGGCTGGTGAACCCTTGGGGAGGGGGGGCCTTGACAGAGTCCAAGGGTCTCCTGGGGGGACCCCAAGTGGTGTCACCCTATCGCTGCCGCCAGATCCCAACCCCTCACACACATTGTGGTGGCCCCAAACCCTCCCCGAGCGCTGTTGGGAAGGGGGGGGTGACAAGGAAAGGGAGGGGGGGACATTCCCAGTGGCCACGTGCCATTCCCAGCCCGGCACGCGGTGGCCAAAGTGTCCTGCGAGGAAAAACCGGGGGATCTGTCACTCACTGGGCTCTGCCCGCCTCGGGGACAACGGGTGAACCCCCAGATCACCTCCCTGGGGTGCCCCCCCCGCTGTTCTCCCCCCTTTCCCCCCCAGACCTGCGGCTGCTTTTTAATCTGGGCCAGGAATGTTTTTCGCGCCGTGATCCAGTTTTTTTGTCCGTGTTCCACGATCCGGAGCTGGGAACAATAGAGCAGAGCTGGCACCTGTCCCCGCCAGGCACCGGCCCCCCGCGGCGGGGGGGTGTCCCCTGTCTCTGTCCCTCCCTAGGGATAGCCCCGCTCCCCCCCGGCCGGAGCAGGGTGACAGTGACACCTCGGGGTGCCCCCCCTTCGCCCCCCGGGCCGCCCCGCAGCTGAATTAGGTCAATTTATTTAGATTAAAAAAAAAAACAACTAAGAAAAGTTTAGGAAGAGGGGAAAAAAACCTTCTCCCCAAGGGGATCCCTCGCGAGCGACAGCGATGGGGGGGTTCGGGGCTGCTCAAAGCTGGGGTGACCCCCTGGGTACCCCCAGGGTGGGAGGACCCTCCTCTGTTCCCTATGCGGGGTTGGGGGGTCTCGGGGCTGCCCAGATACGGGCGGGGGGTGCTGCAGACACGTCTCATCCCCCCTTTTCCCTTCCACCCCCCTTTTCCCCCTTCCCCATCCCCCCTTTTCCCCTCATCCCTCCCTTTTCCTTCCCCCCATCGCCGCCGTTTCCAGCTGACGGGAACATCAAAGCGGTTGTTTTCCCATCAACCTGCCACGCTCCGGCAACCGCCGGGAGCACAAACCACCGCACTCTGCCAGCCCAGGGCTGCGCGGGGGGTGGGGGGCTCCCCCTGCACCCAGTGCCCACCCCTTGTGCCCCCCCTACCCCCCCGTGCCCCGACACCCCAGAGCTGTGTGAGGGTGAGGGGCTCCCCCTTGTACCCAGTACCCTGTGCCCCGGTACCACCGGTACCACCCCTGCCTGACACCTCAGAGCTGCTGTGAGGGATTGGGGGCTCTCCCCTGTACCCCCTGGACACCCTAGAGCTGCTACGGGGCTGGGGGGCTCCCCCTGTACCGTGCCCACCCCCCTGTGCCCCCTGTACCCCTGTGCCCCAGCACCCCAGAACTGGGTGGTGAGCTTCCCCCTGTACCCTGCACACCTCCCCCCCCGTGCCCCCTGGACACCCCAGAGCTGTGCGGAGGGTGGAGGGTCTCCCCCCGACCCTGTACCCCAAACCCCGTCCCCTCCCCCAGCGCCGTCCTTGGTCCTGCCCACGCCGTGTCTGTCCCCGGTGTCACCTCCCCGGTATCACCTCCCCGCCGGCCTTGAGCCGCTCCCAGCCTGGCACAGCCGGTGGGATGGGGGGTCACAGTGCCCCCGCTGTCCCCGGTGCCCCCCAGGACCCCCCGGTGTTTGAGGAGCCTCGCGTGTCACCGGCTCGGCCACCCCAAGGCTGCGACAGGGCGGGGTGTCCCCCCCCACCCCGGGGAGGGGGCACAGGGTGGCCCCGCCGCTGTGTCGCCCCGTGGGGTGTCGGGGCGGGGTCCCGGGTGACCCCCCGGCCCTCCCTGGGATTTGGTGGCTGAGGGGGCAGGTCCTTGGGGGGGAGGGTCGTGCTGTCTGAAGTCCTGCCTGCAGCGACCCCCCCAGACAGGCAGCCCCCATCCCGGCACCCCCTGGGACCCCCACACTCCCTGACCCCACCCTGAGCCCTCTCATTGCCCAGCACCCTCCACCCAGAGCATCCCCACCCTGGGCACGCCCACCCTGAGCCCCCCCTGGTCCCCATCATCCTGCACCCCCCGAATGCCCGCCCCCCCACGAGCACCCCCACATTGAGCACCCCCATTCCCCAGCACCCTCCACCTTGGGCACCCCTACCCAGAGCACCCCCCACTCCGAGCACCCCTATTTCCCAGCATCCTGCACCCCCAGAATCCCACCACCACGAGGTGGGGGTATAGCCTTTCCCGGGGGGCACAGGGTGGGGGTGCGGCCCCTCCTGGCGGGCACACCCCTGTCTGGGGGGCACGGTGGGGGTGCAGCCCTGGCGGGGGTCCCGGGGGCAGCTCCCCCCGTGCTGTCCCTGTGCCCCCCCCCGCAGTCCGAGTACCACTACGAGTACACGGCGTGTGACAGCGCCGGGTCGCGCTGGAGGGTGGCAGTGCCACACAGCCCCGGGCTCTGCACCGGCCTGCCCGACCCCGTCCGCGGCACTGAGTGCGGTGAGTACCGGGAACGGCCGGGATAGCGCCTGTGGGATGGGATGGGTGGGAATACCACACATGGAGTGCCTGGGATGGAGTGGGAGGGGTGGGAATCACACTGGAATTGGATGGAAATAACAGACATGGAGCGTCTGGGATGGGGTGGGAGAGCAGGGAATCACACCGGGATTGGGTGAGAATAACACGCATGGAGTGCCTGGGATGGAGTGGGAGGGGTGGGATGGGAACAACACTGGGATGGGATGGGTGGGAATTACACTGGGATTGGGTGAGATGGGAATAGAAGGATGGGAATAACACACATGCACTGGGATGGAGTGGGAATCACACACACAGTCCCTGGGATGGGATGGGAGGGATAGGAATAACACACATGCACTGGGATGGAGTGGGAATCACACACACAGTCCCTGGGATGGGATGGGAGGGATAGGAATAACACACATGCACTGGGATGGAGTGGGAATCACACACACAGTCC